CCGGTTGAATATAAAACTGACTTGACCGTCGGAGTGCTTACGGCCGCTCCCACCCCCTCCGGGAGAGGCCACGAGTAACTAACGGTGTGCTACGTGTGAAGGAAGAGCTGACTTAAAGACCTATCCTGTTGGCCACGTGTCCGAGCCATTTTTCGAGGTCAACAATAACATTGAGAAAATTTTCAGAATAGTTTGATCTTACACATTTCAACCATATTGTGAACCTAAAAAGAAAGTGAATACTAACGCCTATATCGGTAGTTTGGTAAAAACACTGTGCTAACATGGATACAATCATTTTCAGCATGTAAATCAACATATGAGTAAGTCGTCCAGACATACCCTAAATCTTTTAGAGCTAGAGCAACGGCACAAAAATTAGGAATACCACTTTTCAAAACCTGTCATGGTTGATAATGAAAGAAACATTAAAGGTAATAACATAAAACCAATATGAAATAGAATTAGTGCAGCTACCAAGAAGTGAAATTTAAATTATGCCTAGAAAAGAAAACCTATGAAATGCAGCAATTTCAACAACAATTCAAAGTATTCACACAGGTTCACAATATATAGAAGTCGACCTCACCAAGATATGAGCTGTTTATCTAGCAATATTTCAAAGCAGTAGTTATTAAATTTTCTTTTACAGAAAGAATATAAAGGCAAAGCAAGACACAACAGTCAAAAGGAAGTAAACACAAATGGTAGTTCAATGAAAGTATAACTAACAATACAGGAACTTTGAGAATTTTTTATAAGATAAAACATAAACAGTACACCAGAAGGAACTCTTACTATGACTTTGAAAAATCTTCAAGTTCTCAGCTTCAAGATTGTTATAGATTTTTTTAAGACATGCTAACTACTAATTGAACCATTGGAGTTGAAAGACTAAATCAGGCTCCTCAATCAATAAGTGAGACAATACAACCGAGTAATAATAATCCCACTTTATAGCACACATTAATAAAACAATTAATTCACTTCTTGGAAAGCAATAATGCAAAGATGCGAAAGAAGATGAACCAGATCTGAACATGGTTCCAGTAGTATAAGCAATTGAAGGAAATAGCCAAATAAAAAATATGGAGTTCTAAATGACAAATTGAA